GGTCATTGATGTCTTAGCTGACATTTCCATTTTGTTGCTCCCACTGCTGACCATGCCTTTGCAAGGCAGCCGCTGGCTGCACAAAACTTTCTTCTCAAGGTTGCACATGGCAATTTCCCCACGAGCCCTGAGGAATATGACCTCACATGGCCACCAACTGCCTTATGGCTTTTATACTTGTATTTAATACCAGCACAGGCCTGCCTCATCAGCAGTGGGAGTAAGACAATGAAGGTCCAGGAGAAATGCAGGGCAACAGGGGCCTGAAGTGCAGGGTGATGATGGTGACTGGGACTGGGCTAGGGCAGCTCAGGCTTCCTAGGTTTTAAGCACCACACTGCCAGGTGGCTGTGGCTTCACCCTATGGCTCAGGCGTGTCTTGCAAGAACCACAGAACCACAAAACACCAAGAAAGCCGAGTCATAGCATGGCAAGCAGCCCCAAAGCCACAGTTTTGGGAGTGCTTTCCATCCCAGAAGGCAGGATGCAGGGCAGCCAAAAGAGCAGAAATGGGGAGCATAGGTCTGGGGGAGTTTGAGGCAATCCTTTACCTTACTGAGGCTGAGGTTTGGAAGGGACCAAGCCGGGAATGGCTTTGATTGGGGTGGGTTTACCAATTGGTGGAATTCAGTTAACACTGGTAACAAGGGAGTGCTGGAATTGTCGTTGCTTAGCAATGCAGTCACATGGACCTCGCACTTTATAACTGCATCAGTTAGTAACAGAAATTCCAATCCCAATAACCATCGTAAGTCAAGGACTTTATATATCTATATAAAAGACAATTTTTGTGTACTGTAGCTGGCAGTTTATATATGACTTATTTCTTATCTTCAATGTAGCAAATTATCTAGGAATATAAAGTCCATAAAGAGTTGTTAAATATTATAAATTGAAGAGAAAACTTAACATAATATGACTTAAACCCTTGGAGAAAAATGAAGTATCAGATAATCAAACAATGATTGAATTCTGACACAAAAGTCTACATTTGTATGAATACAAAATGTACCTAATTTTGTAACTAACTATTCAGATGCAATACTCAAAATGGATAATGCTTTATATTCAACATTATTAAATTTATACTAATTTTTAAAAATTAATAAGTACTTTGACCTTTAATCAACTGATGCATGCCTTTTTAATTTTATTTTTGGCTCTGGAAAAAAAATGACAAAATTATTTTATACTGTTGCCATATGGATATTTATGAAATCATCATAAGGTGATTTCAACTCAGAGACTGTATGGTTGTTGTTTTTTTTGCTAGAAATGCCTAACTTGTTCAAATATGCAATTTACAAAGGCTAGAAATTGATTTACTAAATCAATTTTCAAAAATTTGCTTTCGGCATTGTAAAAATTTTGGCATGTGACCCAGGGCTCCTGAAGACCTTTGGTATAACTCCCAAAGATCTCTCGAAATTACGAGTAATTTTTAATATGACGGAAAGGAAAAAAAACTGAAATAGTTTTAAGAGTAATTATAATGAACTAGATAGAATCTTTACTATATATAAATGAAATCAAATTGAGTTTGTCATTGTAATCATACTACCTTTTTGGAAGAGGGTTTCCTGCATGCAATTCTAAATCAAAACCCAACCCCGAGACCACAGAATGTTATAAACTCTGTTGACACAGAGTACCAACTAAACAATATATACCAACTTGCAATTCTGGCAAATTGTAGAAAAGCATCCATAAAAGAAACAAAGCTGAAGTATTGTTCCTAATAATTTTTCAAAACTGTATTTAAGATCTTATCTCTGTCATTTATAGGAAAAAGAATTAAGCTATTTGATTTCAAACAAACCTATACATCCAATGGAATCAAAATATATACTTCTATATGAGTAAAAAGCCACGTATATTAAAAGAGGTTCCATAATTTTGGTAAGAAAACTGTTCAGATCGATACATTTATATTAATCACTTAGAAAATTAAACTTATTTGTAAGAAATCTTATACAAGTACTGGCAGAATGGGAGAAATCCATTACTTATTTTGTGCTGCCACCTAGCAATGTTTTCAAGAAATATTTGCACATGAATTCATATATGCAACTCTTCTTAAAATGTGTTCATTTATATCTACTCTCTTCAATCTTGCATATGTAAATTCAGGGTTGCACTAATTTTAACTTTAAAAGTGAAGCAAGAATACCTCCAGAATAACCCTTTATTTAACAGTTCATTGTGTAATTAAAAATCATTAAATTCAATATTGAAAACATACCCATACAGAAAATAGAAATAGCCAGGTTTGAGTTACTCTATTCTTAACTGCAAATACTTCAAAGCTCATTGTTATTGCTTTCATTTTGCAGCCAAAGAAGTCTCCCACATTTCAAAATTTACTTACGGTAAAATAAAAAGAGATAGAATGTTAGATGTGAAAGTTTCAATTATCAAATTATTTATTGCTAAAAGCCTATGCACAAGAATTTGCTCAACTCATGGTGGGCACCTGCTTAAAGTTAGATAAGGAGATTATCTGCCATACCACACTCAAGGAGGGTTAGCCTTAGTTCTCTTCCAGCTACTGTACATAGGGATTCTAGGCTGATTCCCCCTTTTCACTCAGGCCCCAGGTTTTCCCTCCTGCTACATGAATAAATGATTGCTGAATGAAAATGTATCAATACAAAAGTGAATAACCAATACAAAATTAGTATATCAAGTTGATTTGTACATTTAACATGAATGAAGAATACAAAATAAATGCAGGGTTCACTTGCGTTATGAGAACTGACTATGCAAATAATTTTCCTTTTCATTCTGGATACAAAATTCACTATATATATTAAAAACCCCACTATATGTGCTATACGTTATATGTGCTAGTCCAGTAAATCTTCATCAAAGGTCTAGACACTAGTCTAGACTATTTTCTGTCTTCTCTTTTCTGCCTTCACTCATACATTTACCATCATGTTGTGCAGCCTATCTCCAACTTTCTTTCATACTTGCAATAGCATTATTGTTAGTATGGTATTAAAATGTTATCTTGTCCAATCTCCTTATGCAAAAGGACTTTCTATTAGTGGAAATAAAGTCGACCTATTTTGTTGCACTGAAGGTGATAAAGAATGTTTAGCCTGAGAAACTATTAATTTGTACAAATCTACTGTGTACAACAGGGTCCCCAACCCCGGTCCGTGGACCAGTACCGGGCCGCGGCATGCCAGCAACTGGTCCACACAAATAAATAAAGGCCCATCCGCAAGATGCAGGCAGCATGCCCCCTCCGGTCCGCGGAAAAACCTCTTTCCACAGAACTGGTCCCTGGTGCCCAAAAGGTTGGGGGCCTCTGGTGTACAACATAAGAATGTTCATAGAATTTGTAGTGCCATGATGCAGTGTACTTCCTTCTCTGCTATGATAACCATATGCATTAGAAATCCAACTATAGAAAAGATGGAGAAAATGCTTTTACACAGAACATGAGACAAGAAAATCTGTCAAGTAACAAGAGATGCTATAAAATTCAAAGAATGCCTTCAGTTTGGAGCTGCTGTTTTAAGTTTGAGGTGCTTCTAGAAGGTATTAAACAGACCATTTCACATGTAAAACATCAGTTTTACAGTGGAAGCATAATTTTCTGCAAGATTTTACTAGGTTCAAGGCGACATTCTACCACGAAATTCCTTGGATGATTTGGGAGCAGTCTCGCTAAGCTCATCCTGTGTTCAATAGAAGGATAAAATAAAGGGAAACTCCTTCCCACCTTTTTTCAGAAAAAGACAGGGTATCGATGCAAAATATTAAAATACAGTAAAAGCATATGTTTTGTTATCTGCAGTCTAACAAAGAGGACTCCAAGAAACTCGTATGTGAACCAATTCTCTGAAAAGTATCATAGAAATGTAAAATGTGTATATGTATCATTACCCACATGTGGCCACCTGCAAAGTACAGTGATTATTTACTGTACTTTAGTACTGACTACTCCACTAATCTTCAGATTTTTTTTCTCTCCTTCATTCTTCTTCAAATGAGCATTCTGAGGTTGATGCTGCTAGTGCATTCATCAAAAGCAAGGCCAAAAGTGTCTCAGCCATAGAAGGCCAATTGTTGAAGAGTGACCAGCAGGAGTCAGCATCCTCACTAACCCTATCTAAAAACGCTGGGAGGGCTACACTTAGGGCAGTGGTTCTCAACCTGTGGGTCGGGACCCCATTTGGGGTCGATCGACCATTTCATGGGGGTTGCCAAGCAAGGCTGTCCGCCATTTTTTTTGTCCGCCATTTTTTCCCCTTTTCCGGCGGGTGCCTTACCTCCCTTGGGCTGGGCCAGCTGGTAGTCGGCTGCTCCGTCTCTGCCGCTTGCCAGCTACGCCTCGGCCGGCGCAGGGGGCGGAACCACGCATGTGTGGTGCTCCCGGGCAGGGAAAGTCCTCGACTTACGACCGGTTGGGTAGTCCTCGACTTACGACCGGTTTAGTCCTCGACTTACGAATGGTTTAGTCCTCGACTTACGACCGGTTTAGTCCTCAACTTACAACCAGTTGGGGTCGCAGCATTAAAAAGGTTGAGAACCACTAACTTAGGATGTCCGAAATATGTTTTTTTCAAGAGGCAACTGGACTTTTCCTAGTTGCCTCTAGAAAAAAAGCACCTTTGGGACAACCGTGACCCGGATGATTGAGAATCTCCATAGACATCTACAGATTCTACACTTAGGATCCCTTACTCTCTAAGAACGAGCTCTGCTCTCCGAAGTTTTCCAGCCACCTGGGACTTCTTTTCCATCGCCCCAAGCCAGCATGTCCATTATTCTTACAGACGACGGAAGACCTGTGCCACATATAAAGGGCACACAATGGAGAGAAGTCACCCATCGCCTAACGACCCACCAAGAAGCACACGCCTTTACCCTCTCCAACCGCTCAACCCCAACGTTTCGCATCCGAAGCTTCCTTCCCTGCCAACTCGAAAGGCCACCCAGGAGGCTACCTCTCGGCAATATGGCAGCGGTCACAGTCAGACTCTCACCTCATTGTTGAGGTTCAAAACCTGCGCCATGACAGCCGCTCCAGGGTCTTCACCGGCACGAAAGCACAGGTCTCCCACGGGGGCGACTTCTTACCTCCGCACGCTTCCTCCCAGCCCCGCAAACGAAACTGCGCGCCTGCGCCGTTTTCACCTGCTCGGTTTCCGGGAGACGCTCTTGCTTTCTCTTTATGGTTACGAAGAAAGTAACGTGCCTGTAGTATGAGAACTAGCCCGGAACGTTGAACAGAAGGCGTATTTGAAATAATTTTTGTACGAACAATCATAATTTAAGGGAGGCATTGGAATCAAACTATGATCAATTGAAGCACGATTTACTTAGGTATCTGAGAGAGCAGCATCCCATCCCATTTTAGTGTGTTATAGGAATGCAGTTTGAGCTCTTCCCTACACTGGTTTTTATCAAGTTAACACAACGTTGCCCACTTATGGTACAGTCGAACCTGCATTGACACAGAAAGACATTCCGAGAAATAAAAATACTTTTTCCTATAAAAAAATTAAAGGCCAAAGTTACTGTGGTTTTGTTTCTGATGCTAATAAGAACTTGGGACTGTTTTTCTCACTATTTAAAAATTATTCAGAATATGGAATTTATGACCTTGTTTTCAGTCATAAAAAAACTTGATTATTTTTGCTTTGCCTACCAAAAGGCAAATCATTCTCTGAGGGGGTGCGATTCCAACTGTGACTAGTTGGACAAAGAGTTTTTGCCAGTTTTTAAATGAAATCAATTATATGCATTCCTGTTATAATGTGTTTTTAACCTGCATATGAAAGTTGGAAATTTAGCATTCTATATGCTCACTTTATCATTGTTCATTTCACTAATACTCCTTTTCTTACTTCATTTTTAAAAAACTGAACCAACCAAATGTTACTAATGCAAGAATATAGTAGAATATTCTTTATTGGCCAAGTGTGATTGGACACACAAGGAATTTGTCTCTGGTGCAGAAGCTCTCAATGTACATACAAACAATAAAGTAACATATTTTATACATCAGTTCTGAAAATGTATGCATGAAATGTATCCATTGTAAAGACTTTGGTATTAACAGAACTATGGTACAATGCAGAACGTGTAAGCATGGTACATTAATGAATTTATAATCCCTAGAATTTATTTTTTAAAATAATCAGGTTATCTCATGACTATCTGTGTACTAATCAGTAGTAGTCCCTAGGTGACATGGCTTAGGATAATTAGTCAAATATTTCTCTGTTGGATTGTAGATTAATGATTTACAAACCTTTGGGTGGCACTGTTGTTTAGGAACTGCACTATTTTGAATTATACATCCTGCTTTTCTCTTTTTAGAATTTATGGTTTGAATCTGTATCTTTTTGGAGACAAGGCTTGAGTGACTTGCTTTATCATAACAATTGTCTATTTAATATAAAATCCTGTGCATTGGTAGATGGATGCCTGAGATAGATTCACTGCAGAAAATTATGATAATTGCCATCTCTTATTGGTAATTTCTAGTCTCTGGCATTAAGAAACATACTGTCCAACAAACAAAATGTTGCTGTTAGCTTTGCAGTACTGTACTGGTATATTTATCTTCTATATTGTATCTATAGTGGTGAATATTCATGTATACAAGCTGCAATTGCAGCCTCCAGTAATAATTTTGCTTTCTAAGCAGTGACCATAGTTTCTTTGCAAATATATAAAGCTTAAATATCTTACGCTGTGATTGCAATAGCATTGCATAATTGGTGTGTCATATGTTTAGGCTACCCAGTGTTTTAAAAACAATAGTCTTTAGGTTAAATTCATCTTCTGTATTCAGCTAACAAATTATATGTGCCTTCCTACACTGGGCTTGCTGTAAGAATTGACAGTGTTTAATCTTCAGCTTGTTTTTTAAAAAGAACTTTATAGATGAAATTCCTACTGCACAAAAAGGGCAGATATTGTGAAAGCAATCTTAATGATACTGTTTTCTTATTTTCTTTACAGCCATACCCTGAGTTAAGGGTATGGCTAGAATAAGAAAAAAGTTATCTGTGAAATGCATTTTATTGTTTCTATAGTAGTGCAGCATTATAGCACATATGTTAATTAAGATAAGCTCAAGATGAAAATGAAAATATACACCAGTTTTCTTTGGCAATGTAAGTCTTTGTATACAATTTCTTTACATATGTTGTTAGTGTAAATTTCTCAATTCCTCAAATAATTCAAATCTTTTCTATGCATTTTTTTGTTAAATTTTCCTGATAAAGGCTTTTTAACCTTTTTTTCCATGCATTTTTTTTTTTTTAAAAACCAACAACAGACATAATTATTTTCAATACTGGATCTTTGTCACAACATAATTAGATTATCACATCTGCTCTCACAAAACTCTGTAGAAAATTTCATAAAGAAAATCCATTGAAGATCTAAAACCTAGGGTAAATTATATACGATCACCAAATGTTAATACAGGTTCCAGTGATTTTTCTTATGCTAGGTCATATTTACGCATCCCACTTTTCTGGTAAAAATAATCTTTGTTATTATTTGCACCACGTGAAAATAAAGCTAAAATCAGATATATACTGTAGGTTGTGATCAATAAGTGTATCATATGACATAAGTATGTAATATTTTAATATATGATAATCTTACTTCATATTTAGATGCAATTTATTTGGCTATCCAGCTGAATTCATCACAACTTTCTTCCAATAAAGTGAGTATAAGATCATCACCTAACTGCTAACTTGTGAATTAAATTTAAAAGAAAAAGCAAAGTGTTTATATTCCCTTACCAAAGTTTTGAAATATGGCATCATTTACAGAGCAACGAGGAGAGAAAGTGTCAGAGAATCTTCAGGGCATGGCAATAGAAACTGAAATAATACACAGGAACTAATAGTTGAGGAGTCGAGGACATAGTTCCAATAGTTATATTGCTTTTATCACACATATAAGAAGCAAAGGAGATGAGCTACTGCAAGCAAGCAAACTATTTTTAATAGTCCCTGGATTTAAATCTTATGTCTTTTTTCTCTTGCTATTACGTGATAATGGACTTTTTGCCATTTGTTTCTCAGTCTTGAAAATGGAGGACTTTGAAAGTAGTCATGCTATCATTTGCAAAATTTACATCATGCATCTAAGTACAAAGTTGGAGGATTTGATTGTCCAAGATCACATCCTAGAAGAACAGCAAGCTGGTTTTAGATCAGGTAGATCAATTAATTGGCAAATAAATATATCCCAATTTTTCTATATGCCATCATAGGTGCATTTAAAGAGGGCTGTTACAGGTTAATGCAACACTCCAATCAACAATTAAAAAGCCACACACAACCAGGCACCATATAAATACTATGCAGAAAATAGCCCAAAGCACACATTCTATTAAAGAGATGCTTCCTGAGGATGGGGTCCAGCACGTGTCCGAAAGCTTGGAAGACTAAACCTCTGGTCCTGGTGACTGATCCAGATTGGAACCTGCAGTGTTCTATCCATAACAAGGGATAAGGGACCAACTCCAAATCAAGCAAACACTGCCATGAAGGGGCGAGACAAAGACCCCAGGATCGGCACTTCCGGCTCACCCGGAAGAGAAAGAAGGAGGGGGGCGGAGACAGGAGAGGCTATAAAAGGAGGCAGTTTTGGCGGGAGAGGGAGAGAAAAAAAGATGCTGGAGAAAGAGTCAGAAGAGAAAAGGCTTTTGTCAGAGAAGCGGTGAGAGAGAGAGGGAGGAAAGGCTTTTGGGGAGATGTATGTGCGTGAGAGGGAATGAATTTGGAGGGACGTGTGTGTGAGAATGAGAAGGATTTTGGAGGGATGTGTGCGTGAGAATAGGAAGGATTTGGAGGGACGTGTGTGAGAAAGAAAAGGCTTTTTGTGAGAGAAGCAGTAAGGAGAAAGGAGTAAGTAAGAAGAGAAGGAAGGAGATGGGAATGAGAAAGAGAGGAAGGGAAGGAGGGAGGGAGGGAAACAGGAAGGAACGGAAAGAAGGAGATGGGAATGAGAAAGAGGGAAGGAGGAAGGGAACGGCCCTAACCCTAACCCCACAGGCGCCCCACAACTGAGTGATGTAGAGCTGGCCACACACACCCACTCCCCCCAGACATTAACCACAATGCTGATGCCCCCTCAATGAAATCAAGTTCGACACCCCTGATATAAAAGGACGAGGGGGGGGAGAGGAGAGGGTATAAAAGAAGGGGGAGAGAGGAGAGGATATAAAAGAAAAAGGTGTGAGAAATTTGTTAAATGAGTTTTGCCCCATTTTACAACTTTTCTTGCCACATTTGTTAAGTGATTCACTGCACTTAAATTAGTAACATGGTTACTAATTCACTGTTCACTGTGAATTAGTTAAGTGATTCACTGTTAAATTAGTAACACGGTTGTTAAATGAATCTGGTTTCCCATTGACTTTGCTTGTCAAAAGGTTGCAAAAGGGGATCACATAACCCTGGGACAGTGCGACTATCATAAATATGAATCAGTTGCCAAGCATGCAAATGTAAATCACATGACCCTGGGGATGCTGCAATGGTCATAAATGTGAAAAATGGTCATAAGTCACCTTTTTCAGTGCTGTTGTAACTTTGAACAGTCACTAAGTGAACTATTGTAACTTGAGGACTACCTGTACTTTATCACTTTTTTCCCCTTTTTTTGGTCATCAAGTTTTTGACACCTTGCTAGGCGACTGGTGGTACTCGAATATTGCCATATCCTAAAAGTGGTAAAATCTGTACCACTTTATATATATATAATTATATATATAATCCAGATCTTTGCGATCTCTAGATTAATGCAAAAGTTGGATGGATAGATTTGATGTGAACAAATATAAGAAAAACGATGATCGTGTATAGATCATATATATAGGCTGATTTATTCATCTCTATTTCTTAGAGAACTTAAACCTGATTTCTCTTTTGTTTGTTCTAGGACATAATTAAGGCTTGAATATTGTATAGTTGCCATAAGCAACATGGCTTGTTTTAACAAAAGATTGCCGAGTCTTAAAGTCTGTCCAGAAAATGTCAATTATTGAGTTTGTGCTTTTTCATCATATGAAAGTAAGAACCCTGCACAGAGAAGTGATGACATTTTTATGGGCGATTAACTT